TGTAAATCTTGGCTTTCTCATATGCATCATTAAGGGTTTCTGACTTCACCAAAATTAATCATGTTCAAATTCCCATAATTCAAGAAAATTAACATTCAATCCTATACTGACAGTAATTTCTCTAAAGCAATTATTATTCTTTCTCAAGCAACAATAATTTTAATCCAACAAGTAAACTCTACATCTCTGTCAGACTTCTAAACCTGTTGGAAATCATTAAGTGTAAGAAATTCAAAAGAACTGCACAAGTATCATAGATATCTCTATCCTAACAACTCATGGTATTTCAATTAAGAACTTATTTAATTATCACCTCTCAGTCTCAAATCAAATACAAAATCATGTAATAGTTGGCCAAACAATCACAAGCATTAAGAATAAATTGAAATACTCAACATATATGGATTAAACATCAAGTACTTAAAAATAAGATTGAGAATCTGAACATTCATAATCCGGCTACATCATAACCCTAGAAAAAGAAATTAGTTCATCTCTAAACAAAATAAATTCCTAAACAAAGTCTTAATCATTGGAAAGGAAAGAAAAGAACTAGTTTGGAGTTGAATTGAAGCGTCTCTGCCTCCAGATTTTTATCGTTGTTCTTCTCCGTACTCAATTCTCCTCTCTTCTTGAATCTCCTCTCAAAATTCAGCCGTCACTCTCAGTCCAAAAAGTCCTTTTAATTGCCGTAGAATCATCTATTTATATGTCTTGGAGCATTAGGGTCACAATGGGTAAGTTTTCTCACAATTAGCCTTCAAAACACGTCTTTTCTCGCGTTGTAGCACTGCGGTACTAAGTTCCTAGCGCTGCGGCGCTGGCTGTGCAGAAATCATGGGCGCCAAAACACTATCATGGGTGCCAAAACGCTACCCATTCTGTCCAAATGTACTGGTTCCGTAAAACTCAGCGCCAAAACGCTAAAAATGTTGGGAATGGTGTCCTAGAAACATGAGATGTAATAGGATATTTATTATTTATTTAATAAAGGAGTTTATTCATTATTTTATGTGCATATATGTATGAATATTTTATGAATATCAATGAAATTCCATGATTATTTATGTGACCTTAAACGTTGTATAGAAGTGTTATATACGAGAGGATAATGTTTAACGATAATAATACAAAATGATGTTCATAAGGAATTTAATTAAAGTTTGGAATCTTTAATCTAAACATTATTAATACATGTCATTCCTATTTAGAATTGAATGGTGTTATCCGCACTGTTAATATGGCGAGATATTGAATGAGTGTATTTCGCATAATGAGATTATGTGAAATAAGGACACAGACACAATATGAATTTCTAATAATTTCCATTAAGTATAGAAATTCTAATTGAGTTTACCGATGGTCATATATAGAATAATCTTAATCCTAAGTTCTTAACAGACTCCTATTTATGGATTTGTGTCTTTTGATTTATTCAGTACGGATTCTGAGACTCTGAATCCTATTCCTTGTATTTTGGAGACATGATGAAGTAGGTAGCCGAGAATGTTATTATACGAGATGGAATACATTGCTTCTTGAGATAGAAGTAGATAAATAATTCTCTTGAGGGTTGATTCAGTACTTGGACCAGTAGGAGCTCCGATTCATGAATGTGTTTTATGAATCACTATTCATTAGAGAATCAATGGTACTCAAGGATAACGATATAATTAGAGAGGTTAATGGATTTTACCTAGCTCTAATTATGAATTATTTATGGAGGATTAATCTATATGCAGTGACTATATCGCATGGACACTTCACAGTTTAGAAGTAATTTATATCTATTGGAGTAAATATTATAGGTCCATTAGTCCCCACGTCATCTTAGTAATTCTACAAGACACAAAGGGCAAAATGAGAATTTTAGAATTAGAGAATTCAAAAATTAAAGACTCGAAGATAATTAATTGAGAATTAATTATTATTTAAATAATGTAATTATTTAATTTTGAATTTGAACACATCTAGTTTTATCCATTTAAACTTATTTGATAAGTTGTTCAATTTAGAATTCAAATTAATTTAAATTTGACTTAAATTGAAGTTTGAATTTAAGTTAAAATTGGACTACAGGATAAAAGATGATTTTCTCTGCCTTTCTTATCATATATTGGCGCATAGACAAGGATAAAATCCCTTATGAATGGCTGGTCATAATGGATAAAAGAAAAGAGGAGATTTTGTTCCAAATTCAAATAAGAGATAATTAACAAGCTTTATCTTGGAGGTAGAGATTGGATTCCTTCTAGAAATTTGACTTCTATTCTATAAATAAGAGAATGATAGAAAATTGTGAGACACAATTTTTCCCTTATATTTTGATGTGTGGCCGAAATTCTTTTATTGTGAAAAGGAAAAATTTTGCTCCAAAAATTTCACATCGTGCATGCGTTGGTGTTTGTGAAAATTCAAGTGTTTATTCTAACCCGTTTTATCTCATGTGTGTCCACACACACGTCTTCGTAGATTATAATAATTGACGTGGAAGACATTCGTTTTCTAAACACAAAACTTTGGAGCAAGGATTGTTCGATGTCAAAGAACTCAAGTTATCATCCTAATCGGTCGGTAGATATTATTCGTAATTGAGTTCTTAATAAATGAATTAATGTGATTAATTTATTTGTGCATAAATTAATATAATCTATAGAGTATTTCAAAGGTTTTATGAAAATTTTTGTTATACATGATCTGCTAACCCCACGCTTTCACATCTGAATTCGATTCGGAAACCAACAATTGGTATTAGAGCGGTCTATAGACGGTATTAATTTATGCTCCGATTATTTGATAATCAAAATTAATATATTAAATATGTGATATTTAATTATGTATGTATGTGGTGGGTAGGTACTTGCATTTATGAATGTTTATATTTAATTCATGTTGATGAATATATGGATGATGGATTTGGTCGTTAATTATAGAGTTCAATGGATCGAATTAAATTCGTTCAATTAAATTATTTGTAATTTTTTATTTGAGATTAGAATTATTGTAATTCTAGAATTTAGATAGAATTAGGGTTTTGATTTTGAATCAAAAGAAGCCTGAAAGATTGTTTTAGCTGCTGTCCACTCGAGCCCTAAAAACTGCATAGTTCAAAAATCTCTGGCTGCTTCTGTTCCCTGTGTACCTGCGTGCTACCCCGTGAAGAGCTCAATGCCCCTGCACTGTCGCCCTCTGCGGCTGTTATCTGCGCGCGTCCCACGTGAGACCAGACCCAAAAGTATTGAGCTTGATAAATGATTTACGATATCCTATAGAATATATAATAGTTATATATTACTTTATATAAATATAAACATTAAATATATAATAGTTATATATTATATGTTATAATTATAAACGTTATGATTATAAAGGATACTTAATATATATATAGACACATATATTATTATTATATATATACGATATATATAATATGTATTAATATATGTATATAAAAGTTATATATATATATATTACTAATTATTAAAAAATAATAATTATGATTAAATAATTTTGGTGATTTTGGTTGGCAAAAATAATTTAGTAATTTTCTTAATGGAAGAAAATTATGGGTAAATTATTTTTAACCAAAGTCAATTATTTAGACATATTGCCCTATTGAACCCGAACCATGCGCAATTTTTCCTGGAAGTGTTCCGAACCCTGAAGAAGCTGAAATCTGACCCGAAGACGAAGAACAAAGCCGAGGAATGAAGAATCTAAGAATCGGGGACCCGTTAATGTAACGGAAGAAAATAGTTATTGTAATTATTTATTCGATTTGGTTGTAATTATATTTTCTATGGGACCAGGTCAAATCATAGACTTTCATCTAACCTTCAAACAAAGAACAAAAACACACATAAAAACTAAAAAAAAAAGCCTCGAAAACCAAATAGATATTAAGTGTTAACGATACTAAATGAGCGAGTAAAACTCACTCATCAAATGTCCCCTAAGAAAGGTAGGATCGAGAGGTTCACACTTCTAGAGTTCGTTCTGACCCTAGAGGGGTTGGCATGTCGAACATGATTTCAGTTGATAGTGAAGATTCCCTACTTCGACAAGTTAATGAATATGTTGAGGTCACGGACAAGTTGATGAATATGTTGAGGTCACGGCATCGAGCTCTCAGTAAGGGGCTCAAAAACCAATCAACAATGAGGACGACGGAGTTGTTACCGTTGCTGTTCCTATAGATACTCACGTCAATCGAGGTTATGGAATTAGGTTGATGGGTAGCCTCTCGGGCCTTGTTATCGATGTCAATCCGTAAAAAATTAAACCAAGAACTGCTTTCGAGGTATTTAGGAATGGCTTTATCGACGCTCACAATTGTTATTTTCTTATTCCGACGCCGAGCGATAGGGCCCATAGTCCCCCTCTAGATCATGCGACCATCTATACCCGACCCCTATGTTTTTCCCAAGGCATAATGATTTTTTTGAATACTCTACCTAATTTATAGGAAAAAGTAGTTGATGTGGGGAAGAATTTTACCCAATTAATACGAAGCTTATTAGAAGCTAATTTTGTATTAAATATTATTTAATCGCGAAGACAAAGTAGAAGGATCGGAAAGAAACTGATAAAACAACATCTTTTAAAGAAATCGAGAACATATCAAAACCGTGTAAGTCGTATCGAAGCTCTGTAGAATGAAATTAGTAGTCCGTATGGTTTATAGGTTTGAACAAAAAAAATTGAACTAAAATTTAAATTTTGTAAATTTACTTTGAAGTTTTTCCCACAATTCTTAAATCCAATTAAGCAAGGTATGAACGGTCTATTTAGAATGTATATTCAAACTATAATTCTTGATTCTGATATTTGAAACTTAAAATTTTTATAAGAAGAACGTACTATAACAGAATCATTAGTTTGAGTATAAGTATATAAAACAAACGGATACATAATTTCTTCGTGTTTCGTTTGTGCTATTTTCGTATCGAACAATGATATATTTTTATGGAATTTATAGTTACGATAACATGATTGTTTCGGCAAAAGAAAAAAGCAATGTCTTGACAATATTAGAGTACACACATCAACTTTCTTGAAAGGATGAGAGGGAAAAAGTGTTGTACGGATTTTCTATATGAAAGGAAATAAGATAAACTCCAACATAAGAAGCCTCCAAATAAATCGATAAAAATTTGTGGTTGCTTCCTGCGTATATGACAAAACCAAACTGAAATCAATATCAATATATAATTCATTATTAACTAGAGCAACATGTAGGTACAAGAACCTGCATATCACCTTGGTATAATTTGCTCTGTCCAATTTCCTAGCCTGAAAAGAAACAAGAGAAAGAGTATTCCTAAGAGTTTTACTTTTAATTTAAGTTTTTTTTTTGAAATTTATATATAACAAACCTGAAAAATTAACCACGATGCAAAGATTGCGTGAGCGGACAACATTAACTCACACTTGAAAGCCTATAAATAAGAAATAAATAGAACTTGTTTATCAATTCTTATATATTATTCTCCAAAACTCAAAAAGAAATAATAAGACAAAAAAAGTAAATAGCATATTTTAAAACTATTTAAAGTAAATAGCAGCTTACTATATAAATATTTCATTTATGACTAGTAAAAAAGATTTTTTTCTACATAAATTTTCATTTTATGACGTATAAAAAGATCTTTTATCACGTAAATTACATTTTACTAGTTGTAAATGAAACATTTATAAAGTAAACTGCTATTTATTTCAAATAGTTTAAAATTATATTATTTACTTAATCATGTTTCAAAAATATGTTATTTACCGTAATTTCCGTATAAAGGGGAATAATAAGACAAAGAAAGTAGGAAACTGTGATGAAGTTCTATGAATGTTAATATACGTGTGTGTGTGTATACATTTTTATATATTTTTTGTTGTTTCAAGTGTAATACTTGTATGGTTAATTAAGGATTTACTTAGCTAAATACATGATTGTAATTAATTTGTTGAATAATTTATTGGTAATTTACTTGGAGTAAATCAGTATTTTCTTATGTAAAATGACTAGAGAGGACAAATGACATCAGTGGGAGTAAAGCAAATAGTTTACCTTTAGTAATCAATAAATTAGAAAAGAAAAAAAGGGCATAAAACGGAAGGAAATAAATTCACCAACATTTAAAAAAAAAAAAAAAAGCCTAGGATGTCAAATTATTGATGCAAATATTTCTCAAAAAAAAAAAAAACTATGTAAGTAAGTGTTCCGGTAAAAAAATAAATTACCTGAGGCATGTAAATAGCAGTCACTACAGCACCAATATAATTTACTAGAAGCATTCCAGTGCAAAAGACTGCAATGTTTTTGAGCCCGAATATTGCCGCAAATGTCTGTATGTTATGTCTATAATATTGTTGAATACTGTTTTAGTGATGCTAAAGATAAAGGCTAAAATATTGTTTCACGATCTAAAGCTTGATCAAAATGGAAAAAAAAAAAAAAAATTTTATATTCAATAGATGTAAATGTAAATAAAAAAAAAAAAAAAAAAAAAAAAAAAAAAAAAAAAAAAAAAGAAACAACTTACTTCATGTCTCCTTCGACGTCCGGGAGATCTTTCGCAACGTTAATGACCACATAAAACAATGTCCCAAAGAGAGTGATAAAGACAATTGGGGGGCTACATAGAAAATGAAATTCAAACATGAGATTAATAAAAATAAACTAATAAATCAATCAATGAGAATAATGGTAAAATTTTCGTCTATTTCATACACACAACCTGAAAGTTCTCTAAACTTTTAAATTTTGGAGATAATATATCCAAAACCTTGATTAACGAAAAAGAAAGACGATAAAAATAAACAAAAAAAATTTAAATTCTTTTTACACACCTCCACCAAATTGAAGTCCAAGGGATGTTGTAGCAGCGTAAATAATACCAACATTGTGAAGGACGCCCCAGGTCTGTATAATTTGCTCTTGTTATCAAATATCACCTTTTTTCTTATTTTTTTTTCCCTTCTCTAAACAGATATATGACAAGCTAACATGTTCTAAGTTCACCTTTTTAAATAATACTAACATGTTCTAAGTTAACTCTAGCTAACAAATATCACCTTTTCAACAACTCTAGAATAAAAGACTCAGCAAAATGAAAAATAACACAAGCACAACTGCACTTCAATAGAAAGGAAAATGACTTTCGTATACTGAAGTACTGTTTCTCATGCTTCTAGAAAGAAGTATTTCATTATTGTGTCAGTTAGTCTCGTTCATTTCATCGATTTGAGTTTTCAGTTTTAAACTTCTACAGTTAAAAGCTCTCAGAAAATGTCACATCTCAATTCGAATTGAAAACTCGAATTCACGAAACGAACGAGGTCTGACTTCCAAATACATGACACAATGTTTTTCCAAATCATAATGTATTTTTTGAGCAGCACTGAATTTTCAAAGATTTGATCGCATGAATATTTAGTGGATTGGAAGAAAATATACCAAAGCAAGCAGAATGATTGTTGCAACACAAGATCTCTTGAATCTTACGGGAGGAGCAGAATATATGGTGCCAATGAAAAGAGTTAAGCAGTAGAGAGAAGTAATTATTCGGTCGGCGTTCATCAGCCAAAAAATCATTAGGCCAAAAAATTCATCAAATATTGCAAAAAGCCATGCTTGTTTTAGTGAAACCTCTCCAGCAGGTATAGGTAAATACGGCTTATTTATCCTGAAAGTAAAACATAAAAATAAAAATAAACAAAAAGGTTTTTTCCTAACAATTTATAAGACGAAAAATAAATTAAAAATAAACATTTTACTTTAAAATAAAAATATTCACATTACTTTGTTCACAATCCTTAATAGATTAACGAAAGTAGGGGACTAAATATACCTTAGGGTCAGTGATGCAACTGTCCCCAAAAGGAAGGCTCCTAACATTGTTTCAACTTATAAAAACATTGTTTCAACTAATAAAGAGATATGTTTTACAATTTTTCTTGAAGGGTTGTGGACGGTCTGGTTATTATTTAGATTTAGAGGTAATAAAATGGATTGTTTTTGTATATATGGAATTTGGCAAGCATACCTGTCAATATCGGCATCATATATATCGTTGATGCAAACACAATAAGCGTACGCAAGCAATATGGCAATTAGGCAAGGGACCGCCTTAATCAGCAGAGACCATTTAAACAACTGTGGGTTCTCAAGTAATACTCTTGCAAACAAACAACTGTACAAGAAAAGAGACCACAACCATACATGAATTATGGAAAGTTAGTTTGGTATAACTTTTGAAGACACCAAAAGTCCTTTGATCATCAAACACCATGTTAGTGTTGATGTTTTTGTGTTGGACAAAAATAATGCAAAAATGTACTTTGTTTACACTAATGTATTCTTGCAACTATTTTGAGAAGTTTAACTTTTATAATTCGTGATTTCCGCTTCTACTTTTGCTTTCTTTTACTGTAAGGAGAAGTAGAGTGTAAACTTCAAATCTCCACCAATTGAAAACTAAGCCACATAAGCCAAAAAATAATTATACCCGGTTGAGTTTGAGAGAAAGATAAGTATAGCAGTTTTATGTATAACCTAACCGTAAATCGACACTTGACCCTACCATAAAAAGAAGAAGAAGAAGAAGAGAAGTTTGTTTCTCTATTTTTCTGTAAAAGTTTACTTACATGACCGATATAGTTGCTGGTAGAATTGCATAGGGCCGTTGAAATTTTTTGAAAGCGGATCCACAACGATATATTTGGACAAGCACTGAATCGGAGCCAGCAGATTCAACTTGAGCGCGTGTCTATCACAATTTATTTGATCACTTTATAAATTGAATAGCAAAACGAAATATTGGAGCAACTAACACAAGGGTAGTTATCCAATCCCCAAGAGCAATTAATTATAGCATGTTAGTTTAGCAATAACAACCGATGAAAAACTTTCCCGCCAAAAAGTAAATAAAAATGTTGAATTGAAATCTTTGCGAGTCCCATTTCACATTAACGTAAATTAAGTAAATGCAAATAACAATATTTGACACTAATATTCAAAAAATTTGCATGATTACCATAAATAAATAAATAAAAGTTAATAAAAGTATATATACCTGGACGGAATTGAACTTATGTTGGCCATATAATGTCTCTGAGGACATGCTGCTTTTCCGATGGAGCCTCATTGGTATGATCAATTAATTTTTTGGTGGAGAATTTTTTTAGACTTGATATTGGTATCGACCTATTGTTATGAAAGGTGGCCTTGCAACATTGAGGGACAAAAGATGCCACTTCAAAAGAAGAGTGACAAAAAACTGAGAGCTTCAATCAACAAGGAAAATGGGGCAAAAACGAGAATGAAAACTGTTGACAACAAATGCTGGAAGAGCAACAAATTTATAGGATTATAATTTACTGGTTGGTCTTAATTGATGAAATATGGACTGTTCGATTGAGTGTAAGGATAATTCTAAATATTTTAAATTTGACGCTAAATTTGCTTATATTTTTAATATATAAGATTGTTTCTTAAAAAATGTAAAAAATTATTTCACTAAATTTGCTTATATTTTTTTTTTTAGATTTAAAGGATTAAAGATTGAGAAATGGAAGATTTGTGTTTCATTTAAATTGGGATGTAGGAATTTTTTTGTCGAACACATTTTTTTGACACTGATTTAACACAATCATCATTAAGATGAGGCATATTGATAATTTTACAAGTTAAAGATGTAACTTGTCAAAATTAAAAGTTCAGACAACAAATTTCTAAAATCATACATATTCAAGAGGTAAGTGTGTAAAATGTACTTAGTAAAAATAAATATGAAAAGGAAACAAATGAGTTCAATCATTTAAAGAGTCCAAGATCAATTAAAGTGCTTAAGCTAGAATAGACATAATAAGTATGCTCGTATTATGGTGTTGGTCACATTTATCAATAAAATAGTCTCACATAATCTATTCTAAAGATAGCGATATACTGGAATAGCTAAGCGGCCAACATATATTTTCTTCCTCTAAACGTAATAAATAACTTAATAAATGATTATGTAAGTTAACAAGTTAACCCATATTTTCTTCCTCTAAACGTGTTAACAAAAAGAATTTGTTGTTGAGTATGGAATTAGGTTAATCATGAAGGTGGAAATTTAGTTCACAATATGATCTATAAATCAAATCAACAAATTTTGTTGACACCATAATACAATCTACCTAAATCGATTAATTAACTAAATGTGTGTTAGGTAAACCTATAAAAAATGACCAAGGATGCTTATCACATAATATAAATATATACACACACATCAGACATAAATGTGCTCGGAGTTATAAAAGAATATCGAAACTTTGAAAATTTTTAGAAAAAGAATGAGCGGGCAAAAGTCTGCCTTTTGTTTTGAAAATTTTTAACATTAGACGACGGTTTTTAAAAAAGTATGGTCTAATGTAGCTTTACACGACGGTTTTTAAAAAACAGTAGTCTAATGTGAACGTATAAATTTTTGAAATACATAAGTCTCTGTTCTGCATTTTTTTAACACAATAAACGACAATTTTTTTGTAAAACGTCGTCTAATCTCCTATTTATTGTAGTTGATGCTTGGTAATAAATTCAATATTTAAGAAAGCTGGCAAAATTGCTACTGACCTTAGTGTCGTGACAAAAATAGTGGTGACCAGGGAGTAAACGCCGATAGGGATAGTAAAGAAGTAAGTAATGGAAACGTTGAACACATGTCCGTGATGTCAAATTGCTCAACGAACAATACGTAGCATCATGCATTGTAGACTTTTTCTGTCACTCTCTCCATTTATTATTTGAAACGTGGACTCTCACGTCTCAGTGAATGCTAGAGAGTGATAAAAGAGAGTGATGCTAGTATTTCTCATTAAAAGAAGAAAACTCCTTAGTCAGGTTTCTATACCTTCCTGAGTATATTCATTGGCTTGAGGAGAAAGTAAAAAAATGGAGATGATATGGTCAGGGATTTTGAGACGTGAACATATTTCACTGGAAATAATTTCACACCTTTCGGATCCATATGTGATTTCATAAAGAAAGTGAACATGAAATCGAACAAGAAAATCACGGAAAGGCGAAAGACTCCTAAAAACTTTTTCCCAAGGCATAATGTTTTTTTTTTTTTTTTTTTTTTTGAATACTCTACCTAATTTATAGGAAAAAGCAGTTGATGTTGGGAAGAATTTTACCCAATTAATACGAAGCTTATTAGAAGTTAATTTTGTATTAAATATTATTTAATCGTGAAGAAAAGTAGAAGGATAAAAAAGAAATTGATGAAACAACATCATTTAAAGAAATTGAGAACATATTAAGATCATGTAAGTCATATCGAAGCTCTGTAGAATGAAATTTGTAGCCCGTATAGTTTATAGGTTTGAACAAAAAAATTTAAACTAAAATTTAAATTTTGTAGGAGAAAATATTTTAACAAAATAGTTTGAAGAGTAGTTTGAATTTATGAAACAAATGGGGGCTAATTGAACGAAAACAAATAAGAATTATATATGAACTAATTGACTCATAGCAGATGGAGAAAAGAGCTGCTGAGCAACATAACTACTCTAGAAATAAGAACGTGATTCAAATAGAAAGTTATGGAAATTAAATGCACGGACTGGTTTGATTATAAATCGGCTGACAAGATTAAATCTTTGGAACGAACTCTCCCACGCTCTAGCGTATAGATGTGAGTTGGACAATTGTACGCTCTTAACTGATTTGAGAATTAATATGAATTTACTTTGAAGTTTTTTCCCATAATTCTTAAATCCAATTAAGCGAGGTATGAACGGTCTATTTGAAATGTATGCTCAAATTATGATTCTTGATTCTGATATTTGAAATTTAAAATTTTTGTGAAAGGAATGCACTATAATATAATCGTTAGTTTGAGTTTAAGTATATGAAATAAATGGACACTTAATTTCCTTCATTTGTGCAATTTTCGCATCCAACAATAATGTGTTTTTATTGAATTTATAGTTACGATAACATCAGATTGTTTCGGCAAAAGAAAAAAGCAATGTCTTGACAATATTATATTACACACATCAACTTTCTTGAAAGGATGAAAGGAAAAAAGTAGTTATACGGATTTTCTATATGAAAGTAACAATGTAATCCTTTACGTTTTTTGAATTTTTAGGATCCTCTTTGACATTTTTTTGGCAAAACTAACAAATGATCTTAAAAATTTAAAAAACATAAAGGATTACATTGTTCTCCCCCTTTTAGACAAAAATAAGCCAAAGACACAACGAAAAAAAAAATAAAAAAAATAAAAAAATTCACACCCTAGGCACGTCTTCAGCAACTGATGTCGCATATCATGTTGTAATATTAGTTGGAACACTCGGTGCAACACTTCACACTAGATATCTTGGAGGGCATTGATCTCTGTAGCTTACTCTCCTTGAATCTTCATTGTGTCTTACTCCCCCTGAATGTAGCATTCTTCCATGTATAATGCTCTTAACACCTGTCTTAGTGCAACCTCCGTCACTTCATCCATGATCATTAGGACATGCTTCTAAAGAAGTATAAGCCTTATGACACCTTAAATCAGATTTTCTTACCCACACACATCTAGACAAATTATTTTTCACATTAATCTTCACGTTAGGTGTCCTTTTTGAGTTTGCGGAATTTGGTGGATTAATGAGCATACCTCTCTTCAAAGCATTTAAATACTTGTAGCATCTCGGTCTTATGTGGCCAGGTATACCGCAGTAATGGTATGTAGGGACAAACCTTCTATGTCGAGGGGATGAGATAGTAACCTTCTTATTGGAGGAAGTCGGAGGCTTAGGAGCAGGCGTTTTCTTCACAAACACTGTTTTGGATGTTGACCTCTCACCAATATAGCCAATGCCATGTCGATCACCACTCGTTTTTCCTATTGAGAGAATGTGATCCAATTTTGATGTGCCCGAATTCATCATCTTCAATGACTTTTGAGTGTGCTCCAATTCACCTCTTGTCTCCTGTAGCTTTTTCTCCTTTTCAACAGTCTGAAATTCATAGTTTATAGCAGCCCTCTTAAGTACATCCTTCTCTTTAATAAGCTCATCGACTCGCTCCCGCAAAGAATTATTCATTTTAACCACCAAAACCCATTTGTTGAACATGGTTTCATATGCCTCCTGGATTGTCTGCTCAGTTAGTTCTTCACCATCACTGGAATTGTCAGAATCTGAAAAATCTTCGTTTTCTTCTGGTTTTCTGGAGTGTGTTACAGATGATGTTGCAACATGAGCTGTGACACGATCTGTAACACTGCAGTTTGGAACATCTTGGTAGACATTGAACGCAACATAGTTGTTCACATGATCTTCATCTTCCTGGTTGCCATCAGAATCCTCATCACTCCATGTGACATTGAGAGACTTCTTCCTCTTTTTGAGAGTGTTAGCACACTCAGACTGAATGTGACCGTAACCATCACACTCCCGACATTGAATTCCCCTATTCTTCTTCTTATCATTGGAGGAATTTGTAGCTCCCTTACTTTCTGAAAGTAGTTTGAGTTGTTGAAAATCAGAGTTTGGTTCTTCTTGTTGAACTTCTTCATCACCCTATTAAAATTTTTAGTCAATTGAGCAAGAGACTCTGCTAAGTCTTCATCTTCTTCTTCAACATTATCTTCCACTTCGGCTTGGAAAGCAATCCCCTGAGAAATCTCCTTCTCCTTCATATTTTGACTTAGATTCATTTCAAATGTCCTCAGTGATCCCATCAATTCATCAAGTCTCATAGTCTCAGTGTTTTTCACCTCTTCAATAGCAATGACTTTGTAGGTGAATCTCTGTGGTAAAGATCTCAACGTCTTGCTAACAAATTTTGCCTCGGGAATTTTTTCACCAAGAGCAAAGAATTCATTAGCTATATCACACAACCGTGAATTAAATTCAGAAATAGTTTCACTTTCACGCATTCAAAGATTTTCAAACCTGGTTGTGAGAATATTCAATTTGAATTGTCTGACGGCGACAATTCCCTCATGAGCAATCTCCAAAATCTCCCATGCTTCTTTTGCCGATTCACATGTAGATATCATCTTGAACTGGTTGATGTCAACTCCATCGAATATTGCATTGAGAGCACGAGAGTTGTAGATGGCCAACCTGTCTTCATCAGTACCCTAGGACTCTTTAGGTTTGAGAGTCTCTTTTCCTTCTGCATCTTTAGTTATTGGATGTTTCCAGCCATTCAAAATAGCATGCCAGGCCTTCTCATCTTGAACCTTGATGAAAGCCTTCATCCAAGCCTTCCAATATGAATAATTTGAACCATCAAGCAGAGGGGGATGTACA